CATGATTTATTGAAATTTCTTTTGCTCTTGTATGGTTTAAGAAACTCTCTTTCAATCTCCAAACCTGTTACTGGGAATGTCTAAAATGTTTAAGATCATTGTTACATTTGGGAAAATGTTGATCAACTTTCCTTCATGAAAGAACCGTAGGATTACAGGTCATCTCCTCACATCACTCGAGTCCTTGAAGGCTTTGGAAAAGGACGCAAGCATGTGAGGGACCCTGAAGAGGGAGCTTCCTGAGCTCTAAGGCAGCAAATGTGCTTCTGTGCTGAGGTCTAGCCTTTGGAGTCCCCGCGGAATGTTGTTTAATGGGTAAAGAGTTTCAGTTTTACATGAAGACAGAGCCCTGGAGATCTGTCACACAACAAGGTGAGTATTTTTAATTCTACCAAACTGTGTACTTAACAATGCTAAATTTCTTAACTGGTAGAATATGGTAAAACAGTTAAAAGTGATACATTTTATGTTATATATAATTTGCCATTTTTAAATATGTCAAAAAAACACACATTTTCCTTTAGCCTGAAGAACTTACTTTAGTGTTTGTATCTAATAATCTACTGGAATTCAAGGATGTTTGCTTCTTTTATCTTGAAATATTATTTCAATCTATTTTTAATCATATATTGTCTCGGGTGTGAAATCTGGGTGATGAGTTTTTAAAACTCCATTAAAGACATCACTCCATCATCTTCTAACTTAGTTTCTTGTGCAATGTCATCTTTTTTTATTGTTCTTTCTCCATGGAAGTGAACTATTTGTAATCTTCAAAATATTTGGCTGCTTTAAAAATTTCTGTATTGCCTTTTCACAAAAATTCGTGCTATTAGGTGGACTAGGGGAAAGGGGTGACAGTGAGGTTTTCACACCTGGAGCTGCCTGCTTCCTCTGCCCTCCAGGAAAGGGGCACAGGAAGTCGTGCATGACCTCTAGCTCTATACCTTCTCCTACCCCTGGGATTCTGAGACTGACCACAGTCAGTCTCACATTAAACTAATGGTTCTGGGCCAAACTTGTAATGCATGTGAGCTACAAATTCAGTCCTCTCCTCTATCATGGACTCCAGACAAAAATGTACAAAACAGAATCCAAGTCATTTTAACTCCTTAACCACCAAATGCCCCCTGACGACTAGACTCACTCAGGTGGTTAGAGAAGGGGAACCAGGAGGTACTTGCTTCCCACAGAGAGGAAGGGTCTCCTGTGAGATATATTCTGGACCATAAAAACGCTGTGATTGCACCTTGTCCAGCAGAGGGACTTGACCTTGGGTTTCCAACCAGGCTTTGGGTGAGCCAGACCTTTGCTAAGAAGGTGAATTAGAGAGACACTCTTTAGCCTGTGGGGTTTTGTTGGTGCATCAGTGCATTAATCTCTTAGGAACTCCCAAATCACATACCTACAAGGCAAGGCAGGTATGGTAAATGCTTGACATAAAGAAAATGACGGGGAAGAGAGGTGATGAACAGCTCCAAAAGTGTATACATCGAAAATTATTAGTAGTAATTTCATGTCATGTGAATTTCATCTCAGCAAAATGTTGTACTATTTGTTTAGAAAACACACACACACACACACACACACACACACANAGTATAATAGTATCTTGCTATGGTTTTAATGTGCACTTTCCTGGTTGCGAATGCTGCGGAGCCGCTTTGTATATCTTTACTGGCTCATCGTATGCTGTCCTTTATGAGGCAGGCGCCTGCTCAAGTGATTTTCTCTGTTTTCTCTTTCTTATGTGTTTATAGAAATTCTTCTTGTCTTCTGGAGACTGACACTTTGATGCTTATTGTGTTGGAAACATCTTCTCATATTTGAAGGCTGATGATTGAGCCCTGCTTTGGTGTTTTATGAAGAATCTTCATTTGTAACATAGGCCGTATTTTCAAAGTTTCTCTTTATAAATAGTGCTATTAATGTCTTGTTCAGGAAACATTCCCTATCTTAAGTTCATGGAACTATCCTGTGATATCATCTTCTAATAGCTCTGTTGTTTCATCTCACGGAAAGCAATAGGTCTTCAATCCAGCCGCCCTTAATTTTAGTGTATCCTGTGTGCTAGGGATGCAATTTCGGGTCCCTTGTGGCCCACACATATTATTGAAATGTCTATCTTTTTGTCACTTTGAATCACCTCCTCTGTGGTGCATGATGTTTCCTGTTTTGAGGTCTACAGTATTTCTGGGCGCCCCTATTCTGTACCTGTGGCCTATCCCTGTGACAGTACAACACTGTCTTATTCTCTGTAACGTTGTAATACATCTTCATATCTTACAGAGCCCATCCTCACAGTGTTCTTCATGATTGCCGTGGCTTTCCTTGGAAATTTCCACTTCAATATAAATTCTATAATAATTGAGTTCCACAAAAGTCATTTGGGAGATTGGGTGACATATTGCTTTTTCTGCAGATTAATTAGGATAGAATTAACATTTATCTAATACTGTTTTCAAACCCATTAACATGCACATTTTTCAATTTATTTGCATCTTTAATGTCCTTCAATACAGATTTGTAATTCCCTTTATTGAGCAAGCGCACATTATACTTATGTCATGTACATCTCTAAAGAATGACACATGTTGCAGTTATATCCAAATTTTTTATGCTATTGTCAATGGCATCTTTTATAACGTCCAATTTTTGTTTCTTATTATGATATAGAAATGTATTTGATTTTTGTAATTTGATTTTGTCTCTTGAAATCTCGCCAACTCTCTTATTAAGCCTCCAAATATATCCGTATATACTTTTGGATTTTTTAATATATATAATCATTTATGAAGACAGACCATTTTATTATTTCTTCAATATTCGTATCTTTTACTTATTGTTGTTGTCTTTCTAGACTAGGACCTGATCCTACTGAGTTAGGTATGCTGTTTGCTGAAGACACCCTTTCCCTTGTTAGGGAAATTCTCCTTTCTTCCTACTTAGCTGTGGGTTTTATGAGGAACACATTTGAAATCATCCAATATTCGTGGTTTTCAAATTTTGAGATTTAATCAGTGAAGGGCCAATCATGACAATAGAAGCGACACCATGTATTTCAGCAGTGGGAATGTAATACAAGGGGTTTGTTATGCAGATGTTGAAACACTAATGGAACACAAAGGGAACTCTGCCAGGAGGCCTTGCATCACTCTAGTCTAAGTGCCCAGCTTGAGGTTTGGTTTTTTTGGGGTTGTTTTTTTCTTTTTTAGTTTTCTTATGTATATATTTTATTGAGATATGATTGACATGTCACAGTATGTTACTGTCAGGTGTCCATTATAATGATTTGATATATGTATACATTGTGAGGTGTCACCACAATATGTCAAATTAACTTCCATCACCACAATATATTGACTCATTTTTTCTTGCAATCAGAATTTTTAACAATTTTCTCTCTTAGCAATTTTCAAATATACAAAAAGTATTATTAAGTATATTATTAAATTAATAGTATTATTANCTTCCCCCACCCAGGTGAAGGTCAGAGGTCTTCCCCCTTCGCAGGACCCTGGCAGGCTGCAGGTCAGGCGTGTGGGGCGGCCGGACTCCAGAGGCTCCAGAATGTGGATGTTGGGTTTCTCTGTCAGGGCTGAGGAGGAGAGAGGCGGTTCCTGGGCCCCAGGGGGTGGGGACCCAGAGTGTGACCCTGAGAGGGACACATGCCCCAGAGCCTGAGCTCACCCCAGGTCCTGTGTCTCTTCCCAACACCCAGCCCTTAGGCCTGGACAGGGAGTATTCCAGTGTCCTGTTCCTGTCCTAAGAAGGGGATCCCCTGTCCAGGGTCCTGTTCTGGCCCCTGCCATACCTGTCACCTGCAAATTCAGCTTCTTATATCTGTAACTATATTTCACATCATCTCCTCTCTCCACTCTGAAGAAGTAGCTTTCTGTGTCGCTCATCCTGGCGTTGCTGATGTTCAGGGAACAGCTGTTGGTCGTCTGGTCCTCAAAGAGGCAGAATCGGCCCGAGGTCTCAGGCCTCGCTGGGGCACGCGGTTTGTTTGTGGCCACAGGATAACCTTGGTATATGTTGTCCCTACTCCAGTACCAGTAGATGTAGAGTTCAGCGCAGGAAGACCATGAACCCCAGGGGTAGGAGAAGGAGCAGGGCACATGGACACACAGACCCTCCTGTACTGTCACGTCTTCCTTCAGTCTGAGCTCGTATCCTGGCTCCTCCTGCAGGGAACCTGAGAGGGCAGTGTCACTGGCCCTCATATGTGGGATCCAAATCACGGTCCTCTGGCGTTCCAAGCCAGTTCTTAACTATCACGCCACTCGGCCGGCTCTCAATCTATTTTTTAATCGTATATTGTCTCGGGTGTGAAATCTGGGTGATGAGTTTTTAAAACTCCTTTAAAGACATCACTCCATCATCTTCTAACTTACAGTTTCTTGTGCAATGTCATCTTTTGTATTATTCTCTCTCCATGGAAGGGAACTATTTGTAATTTTCAAAATATTTGGCTGCTTTAAAAGTTTCTGTATTGCCTTTTCACAAAAATTCGTGCTATTAGGTGGACTAGGGGAAAGGGGTGACAGTGAGGTTTTCACACCTGGAGCTGACTGCTTCATCTGCCCTCCAGGAAAGGGGCACAGGAAGTCATGCATGACCTCTAGCTCTATACCTTCTCCTACCCCTGGGATTCTGAGACTGACCACAGTCATTCTCACATTAAACTAATGGTTCTGGGCCAAACTTGTAATGAATATGAGCAACAAATTCAGTCCTCTCCTCTATCACGGACTCCAGATAAAAATGTACAAAACAGAATCCAAGTCATTTTAACTCCTTAAGGACCACCAAATGCGCCCTGATCACTAGATTCACTCAGGTTGTTAGAGAAGGAGAACCAGGAGGTACTTGCTTCCCACAGAGAGGAAGGGTCTCCTGTGAGATGTATTCCGGACCATAAAAACGCTGATTGCACCTTGTCCAGCAGAGGGACTTGACCTTGGGTTTCCATCCAGGCTTTGGGTGAGCCAGACCTTTGCTGAGAAGCTGAATTAGAGAGACACCCTTTGGCCTGTGGGGTTTTCTTGGTGCATCAGTGCATTAATCTCTTAGGAAC